ATTCCTGTGTATTAATAGTTGAAGGAACAAAATACATTTTTCCTCTTAAATATAGAGAGGTTTTTTATAGATTCCTGAAACAATGTTCCCTTTTTCTTTAAAGTAGATTAGCGCAATAGTCTTTTTCTTTCACTTTTACCCTTTTCATCAAAAGGGTGCTTTAGGCTATTTTTGAGGAGGTAAAATGCAGAATTACTTGTGAGTTCTGTTTTGAGTGAAAAGATTACCCTTTTGAGTGTTTTTCTTGGTTAACCATTAGATATAGTGGCTAAATTCGTTCTAAGTTAATTATGCGCATCCTGCAGGCCTTGAGAATTTAGTCACACAGTTAAGAGAGACAATGGTCCTTTTAGACTAAGGGTGAGCTTACTTCGGGTGAATAAAAGTTCAGAGATGATTGGGGGGGGTATGAAGACAGTTAGGCGTTGTTGGTGAGCTAGTTCTGAGGATGTCATGGGATAATGACTGTTTTATTCCTAACAAGTATGGCTTTCATAAAGAAACACATGACTTGGGTGATAAGATGTGTTTTGTTGTAAAATGGGCCCGTTTGGTTTTCTGCTGGCCAGCAAAAAAAAAAGCATATTTTGCGTCTGCCAATGAGAGGACCTGAAAAGATGACCAGCTGACCTCACCCCTTCCTTCTGTCTTCTGGTATATGTTCTGTCGATTCCTGAGTTCGGCCTCTCTTCACATGCTGTCAGGACAGAAGGATCTCCGCAGCACGCGAACAGGGCAGAAGTGGGCCGGCTACTTCTTAAACATTACAATATAATTGTAGTATATTGTATTATATTGTATTGTAATGTATTATATTGCATTGCATTATTACCTTTGATAATTAAAACAGATTGTTTAAACTGGTATCTGGGTATTCTCTGTCTGATTTCCTTCCTGTTATGATTTTAAGCAGGACTCGTCAAAACGACACGCGGAGCCGAGTGGGGTTGTAAAAACCTCAAAACTCCAACAACATCTAGTATACTTGTAAGGCATCCAAGTGAATACTCACCTTCTAGTACAGGGGTGCCCAACCTTTTTTGAACCGAGAGCTACTTTTAAAGTTGCCAGTCTGCCGAGATCTACCAGTCCAAATAGAGAGGCGTAGCCATTACTGACAGCCTACTACCAGGTAAATACACACTTCTACTTGTATAAAACTGACCTTTGTACGATGAATACTTCATGAAATACTGCAGATCCTTTATCTTACCTCTTTCTAATCTACACACATGCAAGTATTTAACTGAAGTTACACAACAGTGTTGTTGATACAGAGTTGGAGGTTATTCACACGTCACATACTACAGTGGGTAATGTTTTCAAGAAACATTGAACAGTGCTGCCACATATGACACAGGGAAAAAAGAAAATACTCTGAACCCTTTCTTTGCCATTATATAAAAATAGTGTTGCTACAAAAGTATAAATGAGGCTTACTAATAAGACAACTCAGATCTGAAGCTACACAGGAATCTGCTGCAACAGTGCAATAAAAGACAACATTAATAGAATCAAACCCTTTTTTTGTTGCATTTTAGTAGAGTATAAAAATAAATGCCTTTTAAAATAGGATGCAAGCAACACTAGTTTCTTAACCTGAATTGATAATAGACTATAATCAATTTAAGTTTGCATTCTTATACCATTTTGTCCAATAATTATAATGAATAAGTTCAAACAAACTAAAACTTACAGCTGATTAATAACGGTATCTAACTTGAGTTTTTTATTATATCAAAAACCTGTTATTTTGACTGTCCCCAAAAAGCGCGTCAGCAGCCTCCAGGAATGCTTCTTTCACAACTTCGCCGTCTTTGAAAGACTTCATGTGTTTCTCAAGAACGTGACTGACACGATAAGATGCTATGGTAGCAGCCTTGCTCTTGTTGTTGGGCCTGGTGGAAATGGACTGCTGTGCATTTAGCTGTCCTTTCAGGCCCCTCCCCTTTTGGGAGCGTAGGGCAGAAGTAGGATGGAATTCCGTCTCGTAGCGTTTGTGAACTGTTTTGAAATGCCGCTCCTAAATTACCCTTCTTCGATAAAGCCACGCTCGCATTGCAGATGAGACAGATGGACTTTGAATTGGAATAGATACAAAAATAATCATCCTCCCACTCGGAGTGAAAATTATATATATTGGGCTTTTTTGTTTCTGCCATAATTGCGGTCTTGTGTGTGTGCGGACTGTCACTCCTGTTGACATGGACAACGTCAGCTAAATAGTGCCCACTGCCCACCAGCCACGCCCCCACACATGGGGTCACGCCGGCCAATCACAAAGCTTTGGTGCGTTCAAGTGCATTATTCTGGCACGGGAAGATTATGTTATAGGACATTAACGATAAAACAGAATATTGTTGTTCTATTTTTAGACACATCTCGCGATCGACTGGGAATCTCCCCGCGATCGATCGACTGGTTGGGCACCCCTGTTCTAGTAGTACAATTACCCCAAGCACAAGACTACAAAAAATACTGCAGGTGATCAAAAATTGCGACGTTTATGTTGTAGAATGGCTCTAAACGTAATCCCACTTAGAATCTATGGCACTGTTCATAAACCACAATGCTGCTACACAAACCTAGATGATATATACAGTGTAAATTCCGCCAAGAGAAATGAGAAATGCAATGCAGAATAATGTTCAAAGCTTCTACTTGCTGATCGCAACAATCTTAAGACTGTTAATGCATGCATAAAAAAAATGTCTTTGTTATTGCATAGGGGTTGAATATTTGTGCAAGCAGTGTATGTGATGTATGTTTAACAACTGGTTTTGCCTTTGTAAATAACCAGGGCATACTTGTTCTGAAATAATGTATATTTTGGTTTGTTGGAAGCTGGAAAAATGTCAGGCCCTTGGAGCCAGAGGCGTCTTGTTCCTAGCCCGGCCTGGAATAAAGAAGGAATGGACCTGCGAAGTAATGATGCCAAGGTGCAATGTCAGCAGCAATGCCCTCCACCTGCCTCCGAAGGATGGAGGCGTTATTTGAATTTGTTGCGAAAGGTATTGTTGTCTGTTAAAGTGAATAAATAAATTATTAAGTAGGTAGTCCTGTAACTTACATTTTTGTAGAATTAACCAATAATGTCATTGGAAATGGAATTAGACACTTAGATGTCGTTTTCTTAATAAAGTTTAGGAGGAGCCCATAGGGGTAATTGACAGCAATTAACTTACACCTCTTCCTTAAATCAAGCATTCAAATGGGAGAACTAGTGAATTACATGATGTTGTTGATGCTATCCAAAGCTTATTTTCTTTAATCTAGGTTGGAGTCATACAGAGCCTGCAGCAGCCTCCGAAACCCCACAGCCTCCTGCGGAAAACTCGCCAGCCACATCAAGTAATTGCAGAAGTCTATTGCAGTGGTTCCCAAACGGTGTGCCGCGGCACACTGGTGTGCCGTGAGGCAAGTCCGGGTGTGCCGTGGGATTTTGTGACAACCATACGTTATTATTGCAATATACAACTACACAAAAATAATATTTTTTTTATTTACTATATCAGTACTTTGTACGTTTATATGTACGTAATCTGCGCGACTTGCGCGTCCACATCTCCACGTGCAGTGCTGCATAAACATGGCTGAGTCAGAGATAACTCTCGAGGGGTGGAGGTCTGCCCATTATTTTGAGTTCGTCCGAAGAATAGACAGGAATGTGACGGTGAGGTGCAAACTGTGTCCAGGCCAGAAGCTGTTATCCACTGCTGTAAACACCACGTCAAACCTCAACAAACACCTGCAAAGAACACATGCTTTTGTGTTTATATATATATATATATATATATATATATATAGTCTGTTCTTCTTCTCTGTCTTCCGGTTGTTGCCTGTTTTGAATGACAAATACACACTTCCGCCGCCTGCTGGTAAGGAAAGTTATTGCCACTCACGCATGCGCAGTTCGTACTTGCTCGAGTTACTTTATGTAGATAGTAACGAAGTAGTGTAATATATTATTTAATTTTTTTAAGTAATATGTAATATATTACATTTTTTTAGTAACGACCCCATCTCTGGAGTTGGCGTTCTCTACTCTGATTTACATGAAGAACAACAGGAGGTCACGGCTCTCTGTTGAACAGGACTTGCGAGTGCCCCTCTCCTCAGTGACACCAAGGATTACAAAATTCTGCGTGCCCCGACAGGCACATGTATCTCACTCATTTGTAAGTCGGCAAAATATTTACAATAGCACATGTTTCAATGCTGATTGCTGAAATGTTACAATTATAATTTGTAGTTCAGGACCATGGACAATGCAGCTTCCTTGCATTGACAGTTCTCTGTGCTGAATTTCTGCTGAGTTTCCTTTGCCTCATTTTTAAATTTGTGACCTGTCTGGTTTAAATGAGTGTGTTGCTGCTTTGATGAAGCCTAATTTGATAAAGTTTCAAATTCATTTCTGAAATATTTCGTTAATAAATATTTCACGAGTAATAGTTGTCTTTGTCTTTGTCACATTTTATTTGGCATTAGTAAATAATTATGTACATTTACAGATATTTTACATGATATGAGTGATAACACGTGTTATAAGGGCTATTTTGCACAAAAGGTGTGCCTTGAGATTTTTACTTGTCCTTTGGTGTGCCTTGGGCACAAAAAGTTTGGGAACCACTGGTCTATTGTACCACTCTTTTTTATTGTTTTCTGACTATATTCGTTATATGAGGATTTTATAAACAGCCAGGAGCTGACCATTCAAAATGACATTTGTTGAACTGCCTAATGAGACAAATAACGCCTAATAACTTAATGTCATTACTTTTATTAGCACTTATGAGGACATTCCTATTGGTGGGGTTAGAGACCAATGTGTCCTTTTTCTGTGGTAACATTATGTTTCCATGGTGCATTGAGTGGTTGTACTTGATGCAATATAAACTTGTGTTATTTTTGTAAGCTTCAAAGTCATTGTCACTTTTAACAGCAACTTTTATGTTTTACAAATTGTAACCTTTTCTTTTTCAGAAGTCGTCATTGCCACCGCAGACACCCCCACCGAGTCCTCTGGTAATGAGCACAGCATAGTTCATCGCGATTTCCAGTAAAATAGGAGGTTCTGTACATTGAAGAAGGTGGCGTACATCCATTCTACTCTTTCTACTTCTATGTAGGAAACCTATCCGAGGAGATGTACACCCTGACACTCATCCCTGTCCCAGCTGCAAGCACCTATTCACTCCCTTCACCATCGGCTGCATCCCAGCCAGGGAAGAGGAAGAAGGGTTAGTGTTTTGTTTGTGTGATTCATTACATTTTAAATAATGAGTGTTGAGTGTTATTTGCCCTCTGGCATCATGGTTTATAATAATAACACTTGTCATTTAAATGCACCTTTCAAGGAACCCAAGGTCATTTTACATATATAACACAATTCACAGATATCTTAGGGAAACCGTCTTTCCATAAATAGGGTGTGATTTGTCATAAAGTCACAGCTGGATGCTAACAAAAAATATTATGAAAGTTATTTAAGTTACATAATACATTTTGACATACTCCATATTTGAAGTCAGTAGATCAGGAACATGAAGGTCAAAAATCATCTATAGCCCACAGAGGTTGTGATGCTATCTATGCCCCAGTCTCTACCGTCACTTACATTTAACTTTCTTACATCTGTCACAGGTTTGCCCACAGAGCGCTCCTCCTCTCCAAGACTTGCTACCTCTGTAGCAATGGGTGTAGCAGTACCACAGGTGAAGGGATGAAGAAGAGGAATAAGGGTATGTTTTGTTTTTGTGGTACATCCTACTGAACATATATATAGCTGTATTCTCCCATTCACACGCAAGTCCTTTTGCACACCACAAGTTACGCACATTTCAGACAAGATATCAGATCCAGGTTTCCATAATCCCTCTCTTTTTAATAACCATAAAAAACCATAAAGATTTGCTCAATGACTTGTCTTTATTTATAAGGTGGTTAGAAATTATGTTTCATGAAATAAAACAAAAAGGAAGTTGGACACAAATAGGCCACATTGCAGATTAGCTAATGTTCTCTTCCTATATGAAAGTCATTAATCAAATATTAGTCTGGAGGATGTCCAAACCTTTTCTTCATTTGTTAATAACTTCTTATTTGCACCATTTCAGGCTGCAGAAAATGCTCAAGGCAGCAGATATTCAACTACAACGGAATTAAAGACAGAAGGGTAGAGAAGGTAAGATGTTGAAACTGACAGAGCATGAAGCAGCAATGCATTTACCTGTGGTCGCTGGCTAACACTTGTTTTTGCCTGTCTGTGTCTGTTTGTGTGTGCCTGTGTGTAGGGAAGAGAAGAGGTAATGGTCTGCTGGCTGCCTTGCGCGTCATGGTGAGAACACAGCTCTTTGGTTAGCTTTTTTTAGACTGTGCGTTATAAATAAATGTATTACTTCATAACTAGTTTACTATCAGGCTTCTACAAAACTGTCCCTAAGTAATTTGTTGTTTTATGATAACCCATGCATATGAAATTATCTTGTGGCACATGCAATGATCTTATGGTTGTTTCTATTCATTGTGTTTTTCAGTAGGAGAAAATGGGAAGACACCTGGGAGCCTGCCAGTCAATTCAGTGTGTGTGTGTGTGTGTGTGTGTGTGTGTGTGTGTGTGTGTGTGTGTGTGTGTGTGTGTGTGTGTGTGTGTGTGTGTGTGTGTGTGCACCTTTGTTAATTACACACCGACATTAGCCAGACATTTTTTATTAACAGGACAGGGTCGTTGTCCTGCTAATAAATAAAAATTCTAAAAGCGTAGAAGTGTTTCTATAGGTGTAGAAAGCTTAAATACCCAAAAAAAAAAAAAAAGACCTTTTTATACACAAAACCCAGAAATTGTGTATTTTCTGTGTGTCAGAAGAGCGCTCATACAGCTGGTTTTTGGTATTGCACCCGCTCATGAATATTCACACAGAAGGAGCTCTGATTGGCTGACTGCCGGATGGTCCTGACAATTCATGTTTCTGTGAAAAATGTTGTGTGTGTAATAAGAATAAGAATAACATAGTAATAATAATTAATATTATTATGATGTTATTAATATTATTATTATTATTATTATGTCTAATACTACCTACATTTCATTGCAGTTTAGAGATGTAATTATCAGGCTTTTGTTTAATACTATATTATATCATTATGTCTAATATTTCTATAATTTCATTGCACCTTTACTATAGCTTTTATCTGATAATATACTTTAAGGTACTCAGTGTTTTAGGAGTCCATATCGGTCTTTGTCTCAAGACCACTTTTTTGAGGTCTTGTCTTTGAATTGACTGCATTTTACCATTGTATTGTTTCGTTCTTAGACAAGGCTGAATTTATTCCAAGACTGCTCAAGATCTTAACTGCGGGGATATTACATAACTTCCATTGTCAAATGTAATTGTTTATTTGTTATTTATTGTTATTGGATATAAAAATGCATGCCCAACATACAGTACTCTACCTTGTGCCCTTAGTAAAAATGTTGATTTTGTTTAGTCAAATTAGTCCTTCAATATGAATAAATGCTCACAAAATGGTTCAGAAATGTAAAATCAGGATATACATATCTCTCTCCGCACACATATCTATCATTGCACACATAAATGTGTATTGTTTTATATAAATCTGAAAAATTCCACATTATCCACATTTTTTATCAACACATGAATATTTATTGCTTTTCATGTATAAAGTGCTCTGCATTTCATACAAAAAAAAGGTGAGTTTGTGAATGCAGGTTGAATAGTTTATGTATACATGTAACAACACAAAATATATCTTTAATGAAAATTGCTAACACTTTAATTAAAATACTTGTGGATATCTATTACAAACATTCTTGTGTGGATCAAAAACATTTTTAGAAATAAACCACATTTGTGCAGATAGAGACATTTATATATAAATCCTAATTCAAAGCATGATTGAACAACTTGTGCACCTTTGTACATACAGTTTATGCTTTAATACTGTTATCCAGAGTGACGTGGTACATTGTTTACCACTATTTAAGTAGCATTTGCCGACGGCCGTGCTCCACCGGCGTTTCAGCTACCGTTTGCTAACTGGAGAGGAATAATTCGCTGTCTGACTGTCACACAAGCAACGTCCCCTGATACATATTCCCCAATACATTCACATGTTTGTTAGCTTTAAATGTATACTGTTTGGTAATATAGCACTGAAAAGAGTTTCTGGACAGTGATAGCTTAGCCACCGCAGACGTCTCGCTGATTAATAACAAGCTGCTTTTGCTGTACCGGCGTATTTTCAATATAATCTAACTTGTGCTGTTCTGATATAACAACATGTTTAGCCTAAGTATTAATAACAGCTGATAATCAGACAAGCCTGTATAAAACAACAACAGAAGAACGGCTTGTACCGCTGTTATGACGGTCAATGATAGTAACGGATAGTCAGCTAAAATGTGGTGGAAAATGTATGGGTACTGGTTAATGTTACGTAACATTACTACATATGTACATTAATATGTGGGGTTGTGTTATAATCACTGCGTTATCGGCTCTACTGCTTATGTAGCAACTGTATTGTTTTCTCCGTACTCGCTATATAGTTACATTACATTACATTGCATTTAGCTGACGCTTTTATCCAAAGCGACTTACTTACAAACTTGAAAAAAACAGAATCATATAAGTACATCAGGTTTCATAGAGCCAAATCATTTCAAGTGCAATCTTCATCCACAAGATTTCCACTGAGGCAGAGACTCTGCATGAAAATGCTGCCATGACATCTGAGTCCCACTATGATGACATTACACAGGTGAGTTAACCACAACTCAATGTTCGTAATAGTTACATGTTTATTTCAAGTTATAAACCATGAAGACTGGATTTGAATGCTGAGGTTCGATACACGGGTCCTGTGTATCACTCTACTGGACCGCTTTAGACACTAAGAGGACTGTGTGTCAATGCTGTTTTTCTTCTTAACGTTAAACTGAATGATCATACTCTTTAGATATTAAATACTATAATCAGTGTCTTTCTACCTGATTGTGTTGTTAACTCACAACAAGAGCCAGTAAAGCATTTTCTAGAGCCGCCATTTTATTATCCTCGCATTAGCATTATTAGCATTAGCATTAGCCCAGCGCACAAATGCAGAGAGACTAATTTATGGCAACACAAAATAAAACATGAGAGCGGTGGGGATGAGGAGGTGTCGGCGTTCTGGCGATTTACTCGGAAGGCTTCAGTAGAAGCTGCTGGGAGTCCCAGCAGCTACTACTGAAGCCTTCCCCAACTCCGGGGACTTCCGGCCGGGGACTTCGGGTGGCAGTATACGCCGTGAAGCTGTTTGCAGCCTGCCAGTAAACCCAAAGCAGAAGAAGACGAAGTGACGTCAGCGGCTCATTTGCGTAATCTTCCCTCAGGGAACTTATTCCGGTGTGAACGCGATCTGTACTAAGTGCCGGGGCACTAAGTGCCGGCACTAAGTACGGCAAAGTACTTGGTATGAACACGGCTAATGTTGGTATTAGTTACATATTTCTTTCCAGTTATAAACCATGAAGACTAGATTTGAATTGTGAGGTTCGATACACAGGTCCTGTGTATCACTCTACTGGACCGCTTTAGACACTAAGAGGACTGTGTGTCAATGCTGTTTTTCTTCTTAATGTTAAACTGAATGATTATACTCTTTAGATATTAAATACTATAATCAGTGTCTTTCTACCTGATTGTGTTGTTAACTCACAACAAGAGCTTAGTGCCCTGGGGTACTAAGTCCCGGAGCACTAAGTGCCGGCACTAAGTACGGCAAAGTACTTGGTGCCGGCACTAAGTACGGCAAAGTACTTGGTGCCGGCACTAAGTACGGCAAAGTACTTGGTGTGAACGCGGCTAATGTTGGTATTAGTTACATGTTTATTTCAAGTTATAAACCATGAAGACTGGATTTGAATGCTGAGGTTCGATACACGGGTCCTGTTTATCACTCTACTGGACCGCTTTAGACACTAAGAGGACTGTGTGTCAATGCTGTTTTTCTTCTTAATGTTAAACTGAATGATCATACTCTTTAGATATTAATTACTATAATCAGTGTCTTTCTACCTGATTGTGTTGGTAACTCACAACAAGAGCCAGTAAAGCATTTTCTAGAGCTGCCATTTTATTATCCTCGCATTAGCATTATTAGGATTAGCATTAGCCCAGCGCACAAATGCAGAGAGACTAATTTATGGCAACACAAAATAAAACATGGGAGCGGTGGAGATGAGGAGGTGTCGGCGTTCTGGCGATTTACTCGGAAGGCTTCAGTAGAAGCTGCTGGGAGTCCCAGCAGCTTCTACTGAAGCCTTCCTCAACTCCGGGGACTTCTGGCCGGGGACTTCGGGTGGCAGTATACGCCGTGAAGCTGTTTGCGGCCTGCCAGTAAACCCAAAGCAGAAGAAGACGAAGTTACGTCAGCGGCTCATTTGCGTAATCTTCCCTCAGGGAACTTATTCCGGTGTGAACGCGATCTGTACTAAGTGCCGGGGCACTAAGTGCCGGCACTAAGTACGGCAAAGTACTTGGTGTGAACACGGCTAATGTTGGTATTAGTTACATATTTATTTCCAGTTATAAACCATGAAGACTAGATTTGAATTGTGAGGTTCGATACACGGGTCCTGTGTATCACTCTACTGGACCGCTTTAGACACTAAGAGGACTGTGTGTC